CCGTGAAAGTTTTGGCTGCTGCGAACTCATTGCTCATTGCTATTAAAGGATTTTAGCCATTTCAAGCTTTAATTCCATTTCTAGCACGAATGTTTGCACCAGACGGGTCATTCTTCAGAAACTTCTGAACCAGAAAGGGCATCTCCTAAAAAGGTCGATTTTTTTAAAATTTTTTTGTAACATTGTGTTTTTGTGCAGTGTCTTTAACACTTACAAGAATTTGGGGAATATCGATCACTGGTTTTTGTGCCTATGTAATTAATCTTACTGAAATTCATGCAAGCTAGGGAATGAAACACAGACAAATATCCCCACATATTCTCAGCACATGTGATATCAACATGTTACATTGTTTATAAAACATGCCGCTAAACACTGTCTCCCAATTTTCCCCCTCTCCTAATCCGTCCCCATGTGCATTAGCTTATTCCACATGAAATATAAAGCTCGAATCTTCCCATTCCGTTCTATCTTGAATAGATAGAATTTTTTCGAAATCTTCCGCGTGCTCGTTTGCGTCCTCGTGGGTGCAACTCGCTCTTATGCAATTTCCACTCGTTGTCAGCAGGGCAAACATATCGTGCCTATCGGTCTTTACTAATATTTAACACGGCCATGATAAGGAAAAGGTGATTACGAAAATATACATCAAGCATTTTTCGCATTTTTGGTTTCTTCATATTTTAACATTTTTCGTAATATTTATTATGTATTTATTTCTATACCAAGGAGTCAGATCCACCATTAGCTTGCGTCTAAGCGGCCTTGCTGGCATATGATTGCTGTTGGTGTTTGCTACCACTCGGACTAATCACCGAGTGTCTCCGCCTGTTCTAAGGAAAGTATATCGGAAGGGACTTTGTTTTTTGATTTTATATTCATGCCGTAGTGTTCCTAATATATCGGGAGATTTTGAAGTAACAGAAAGATGTGAGAGGAGTTTTTTGAGAGAATAGCCATGATTTCATGTTTTTCATAGAACGTGTTTTTTAGGGTCCATGTTGCCCGGACCGATACTTTTGTCGTCTACGGCTTGTTGATATTGGTGGTATTGATATCCGCCCGCTGTTTGATGTTTTGGAGATACATCCAATGTAATTTTCTCCTTTAACACTCCATTCGGCTAATTTCATAGAGATCTTACTTACAGTCATCGATTAACATATCTAGCAATATTTTTTCTTCCCTGCCCTCGGTTTAGGTAATAAATACGCGGATGATTGCTGGTGGTTGCCTGCTACCACTGGAATACTTCCGAGTGCACTACCACTGATGAAAAGCCATTTGTCATGTTCGCATGCATGGAATTTCGCCTCCAAGTTGATTTAAGACTATACATGAATGTAGAATATCCCTTTGTAAAATTTCTGCTACACAGCTTGTCGGATAAGCTAAATAGTCACTTCACCACATTACTTCACCTCACAACATTTGATGAAATTGCTGATGGACGTAGTGTATGTCAAGTAGCACGGTGGTTTAACTTTGCCAGCAAAAAACAGCCAGGTCCTCTGCAAAGCAATCATTCATTTTGACAATAGATTGATACTGACGTATATTATGGTGGACGGGAAGGGGAGGGGGATAGAGCGGGGGGTCATTAACTTGCTTCGAAGCAACGTGGGAGTATTTGACAGATTTGTCAACAGATCATTGCTTTTGGCATATGCCACCACTCTGGCTCTTATTGAGTGCTATCGCCTTTTTTGATGAATTATGATGAAATTTTGGATTTTTTTTCTTGAAAAAAATCAAATTTTGTTTTTTGCAGGCATTGCCTTCGTCCACGGTTTTGTTTGCAGTTCTCTTTGCATGGTTTGAAACCAGCAGCAGATGAGAGACGGTCAGATGAAGCTATGCATTTTTTCTATCTTAAACTTCCACAGGATTTCCCTGTTGTGCTGAATGTTCTGGGTCACGGCAGGATGTAAGTGTTGAATTAATTTTTCAAAAATTTTTGGTAATTTTTACAAATAACTAAGCCGATGAGGCAAAGTCGAAACTCTTTCCACTCTTTAAGAAGCGCAGGTTCTGGAGTAACGCGGATAATAGCACCCTCTCAGCAGTATCTAAGTGAAGACAGAACGACAGTCCATGGCTTTCTTTTCTCGAAGTTGCATAGAGACATATTTAAATCAGAATTATCTGATTTTGCAGGTCTACGATTCTCGTCTTGCACTCTCTTAACTCCACAATCTTCTCCTTTCCCCTCCCTCACCTTCCCAGTTCCACATTTCGCAACATTTCTGTTATCTTTTCCCCCCTAATGGACAGTAGTCCCTTCCCCCTCCTATTGTTCTTACAGTTGCGGTTACAATTCAAGTGGGGGGGGGGGAGGGTTGTTTTATTTCTAAATTTTTATGATATTTTGAATTTTATTGCGTTTACTTTAGGAACAAGGAAAGTATCTCCCTGTACAGCTGTGCAGCATACAATTTGCCCGATGTGCTGTTTGTAAATTCCATACAGGTAAGATATCGCTTCTGATTTTGTAAAATTTTTGTAAGTGGGCAGCGAAATCCCACCATGGGTTACGATAACCACAGAAAGTTTGCCAGCTACGTAGTTATTTTTTGGAAGCACAGATTTTACTTTACGAAACTAGCACGTGTTAGAGAAAGTCGGATCTGCCCACTAGCTTGTGAGCAACTCTCGAAAGAAGAAGCCATCGACAGCCTTGCCAGTGGGTGTTCTCTTGGAATAATTCCGAATCACAGGGAGTGAATGCAGTGGAATGAGTGAAGGTTGACTTTTACGAAACAGTTGAAGAATGTTAGATTTTTTCACATTGATTTCATGCAAAGGTCAGGTTTAGTATCGCCTCTGCTCTGGTGTTTTGTTAATCAGTTATGAAAGAAATGTGATTGGGGCAAATGCGTAGGCGGATCCAAGACGGCCTTCTAGGAGGAAGAGGAGCGACGATTGGAGTTTCTACCGACTATAAGCGGAAGGGGGAAATGAGGCTCCTGAGGGGAGGGTGACAGGGAATACATGAAAGGGTTTTCTTCGGTTTTAGCTTTAGACCCTGACTTTTGTAGCATTGATAGCTGTGCCCAAAAGGAGCGAAAGGCCCATCAGCTTATGGGCAAAGGAGGATAGAACTGGGGGTAAAAGTGAGAGTTCAGTACGATGCGGGTAAGGGGTTGTCAGAACAGTGTTGTGCTTGTAAAAATTAGGCATTTTTCACTGTTATGAGGGAGATTATCCATGTTGCTCTTTACCTCTGAGCACTCTGGTGCTTTTCAGCCGCTGAACGACTCAGGAACCATACTGGATAATCGTCTTTTGCAAGAAGGATATGCAATAAAGTCATCGCAGAGTCCAATTTCATTGCAGGAATAGGCGCTTTCCTTAATTGTTCTTGGATACCATACAGACCGGTTTGTTGTTGTTGTTTTTTTTTTCTTGCAGTTCTCTGTGTATCTACCTACGTTTGTGTGTTATCTGT